CTCCAGCTCCTCCACTACAAGTTTGAAGTTTAGACGAGTCTTTCAACTGTTTGCTTGGAAGGCATGGAAATCGGGTACCAAAACCGAAAGAAAAATGTACCCTGGTCTTTGTAAATGCAAACATTGTTTATTATATATGACTACAGAAGCAACCTAGCAGAGGATAAATGCTGCTGATTCGTGATTACAGGAGGCAGCAGTGGAGCAGAAGGAAAAGATCTCTGGTGGGGGCAACTGAAGAGACCTGAGACGAGGTAGCCCAAAACACATCTTCTTGGAACCCTTCCTACAGGTGCTAGAGTCTGTGTGTGGCCACCAAAAACTGAACTCGGGAAGATGTTGTTGGCTGAGACTACAGCACTGCCTGACGTGACACAGGACAGGACTTCCATACACTTCAGAACAACTTGGCCCTGCCTTGGGATTTATGTTACAGGCTGGCAAACAGGAGAGGTCCTCGACTTCAGCTGCCTGAGCCCAGCTGGGCGTGGTGGATCCCCAGTGCCTGCCCGGTGCCTTAAGGAGGCTTTGAGCTTCGTGCCCAGGACAGAACTGCTGTTGTTCCTCTGCACCTCCCTTGAATCCCCCTAAGCCAACACCCTTTGCTAAGACTGAAAAACATTTTCCAGACACAAGCATGTGTACGTGTGTGGGTGGGTGGGGTGCAGGGGACTATGAAAATTTCAAGGGGAGGTATGACATCCTGACTTTCTAAATATAGAGGACCTGAACTGCGGCTTCTCTCACACGCTACCAGTGTGCTTTCTCTTTCGAAAGGCCCTCAAAGCAAATATTGCACTGGCTGGGAGAGGGAAAAAAAAAAAAAAAAGAGTCCTGTGAGTTGATTGCAGCTCGCAGAGCTCTTGCACAGAGTTGTTTTTTGGGCGAAGCTCCAAGCGGTGCCCACGCAGAGCCAGTCAGGCCAGCGAGGCGCGGATGGCCGTCACATGAAGGCGGTGGCGGGACCAGTGGGCTGGTGGCAGTCCTTGCGCAGGGTCAGGACCTGGCGGTGCTTCCCCTTCACCCACCAGCCCCTGATCTTGCAGCAGCAGCAGGGGACGGAGAGAGTCGCAGACCCTGGTGGGGTTAAGAATGTGACATTTTGGCTTCGTGTAAGGCGCCACGTCTCAGTTCCCTTTTCGCTGCCATTACTGTCGCTCCACTATTTGCATAGCACAACATCAAAATGCCTCAGAGCCAGAGGAAAGTGGTAGTTGCTGCTTCTCCTTTTAAAAACCAAGCAGTTATCCATGCAACACCATCACTCCCTGTGTGTGCTTGGGGTGGAGGTACAGGCACGACACCAGGGGATTATGACCTTTGCAAAAAGTTTTGCAGAACTGAATTTATTCGAGACTGATGATCTTTAAGCCAAGCTATAAAATCCAGTGGAGAGTTATATCCCTGTAATAGACCCTATTAGAGGGTCTAGCACAGTCTATAGAAAGGAACTCCTCTCTATTAAATTCTCTAGGGCTTGAGTTCTCATTTACACAAAGGGGCCTTTTAGCTCTGTAAAATGGCCATAAAGTAGGTGTAAAAATGATTGATGTGGTCTTTACAACCTCTTTACACTGGGAAAACAGTGTAAAGTGGCCAAAGTGCAAATGAGAATCACACCTGGGTTTGTGAGAGTAAATTACATTGAGCCCTTTGCAAATTCTGTGTGTCCATAATGGTTTAATCCTACCTCTTTCTGCAGAGTTCACTCAGCAAATAAATTTCCAGGACTTAAAAACAATGTTTTCTTCCTCAGCATCTCTGACCTTTCCAAGCCTTTTAGTCCCAGTCTTTCTCCTGGTGCAGTCTGTGTGGACACCAGGAAAAGGCTGGGAAGCAGAAAATCCTTTAATTAGTACTTCCTGAAATACTTGATCCATGCAAAATACATGTTGTAAAGCCATACCCTGGGGAAACCAGTTCCAAAAGCTTCCATGTCCATTTCCTCTTTTCTCCTGTTTTGATTTTAAGCTCTTGGGATACATAAAGAGGAAATACAGAAGTTAATCTTTGCTAGATCAAAATGCTCTATTTATTCATTAAGCATATAAAACACCAACAGAATACATGATGAATATTGCTTTCTTTCAGAGCAAAGGGTTAAGCTGTGTCGTGCTGATTAGTGAACCAAACTCTTTGGTGGCAGCTGGAAGTAGATGATATGCTGATACGGAGGTGCACAGCTTGTTAAGTGGAGAAGGCTGTGTTATCCAGATCTCCCTTCTCTTCCCTGTTGACACACTGAAGGCATTTGCAGTGGCTCTGTGATCATCCCTACCATGTCATCCGTGCTCTAGGGCAATCCCAGCAAATTTAAGTCCAGGGGTAAGTAGGCAGAGGCCAGGCAATGTGAGCTGAGCCCGGTCTAACAGGGGCTGGCCTCTGGGAGCCCAGCACCTGGGAGGTGATGGGAGACAGGGAGTGAAAACATGTGGGTGAGATGGAGATCAAAGGATTAAGGAGACAAAAGGTTGGCTCTGGTGGAAATGCCACTTGGCTGGGGCAGCCAGCTGTGTCCCACAACAGCTTTCTGCTACCAGCCTGCATGCAGCACAGCCTGAGCTAGAGCACTGCAGACCCAAGGTATCTTCAGAACAACAGGGACATTAGGGATGGGCAGGGTGGGAAGGATGGCCTGCTCTGCCAGTAGAGCCTTCCTCTTGCTTCGCCAGCCATCGGGCCACAGCACATGGTGGTGAGCTCAGCTGTTGTTCAGCCTCCCCTCTATCCCTCTCCACTTCTTGTAATCTTCCTTGTTAAGAGCCCAGATTTTTGGCTGGAGGGAGGGGCAGGTGCACCAAGGGTCACGTAGGTAGGAGGAAGGTATATCCTCTGCCCTACACTTCCACAGAGAGCACAGGTCTGTAAGAGATGGGGACAAACACCCCAGTACAAGCAGCTAGTGAAAGATACCCCTATGTACCCATCTCACATGGGAGGCTGGCCCTGGCAAAGGTCCACGAGCACTGCTTGCAGCATGTTCCACTAGAGCTGTGGTAGATGGGCTGGTTCCCTCCAGATCCCACATCGATGGCCCTGCCAATGCCAGCAGATGAGTCCTGCATCACCAGCCACCCTGCACACTCCACTGCTGTCTCAGCTTGCCCCAAGCATGCCTGGGAGCCAGGCTTAGGTCTTGGGATGGGTGGTGACATGTAGGCAAGGGAACAGACAGCCTTGCAAATGTGCCCTGCAGCCAGACTTACTAGTGATTGTTACTTTTAGGTGCATAAAAAAGGCCATTTGGAAACTGGTCTCAACAACCTTCATTTTCTGAAGCTCCTCTCTTTGCGGCTTGGCAGAAAGCACCTTGGCGATGCTATGTCTACTCTAGAAGCACTTTCCATGACAAAAACTAGAGCTCATACACCCAGCAGTGTTCTAGGCAGGCCACAGGAGACAACTACACTGACCCTGGAGGTTTGCTGGTCTAGCCCTGGGATGATGTGTGATCACCATATGGAAGACAGTTTTTGGGTAGGATCAGAGTCCCTTAGACAATTAGGATTTTCCCAAACTGGGTTTTTCAACTTCCTGATGGTTAGTTTTGCTGCAGAAACAGAAAGTTTTTTCTTCTTTGAATCCTTATATAAATTTGATTTGCTTCCTCCTTGCTAATGATTCTGGCACAGTTTTTCTGGCATGTGGTTGCTCCACCCCACCTCAGAGATACCCTTGCTCTGTCTGGGATCGGGAAATCCCTAGTCATGGCAGGGTGTGAGCACCAGCTGCCTGGCTCTTGCATGGATATGTATCAGCAGGCAGTGCAAAATACTGCTGATTGGGAATTGCTCCTAAATTTAGAAGTCCATGATGTCAAGGGAGAAACCAACATAGTCGTCTCGGTATAAGACTAATAAGACATAAAGCACTTCTAGAGCCACACTTTCATGATGAAAAGCACCATTTGACTGTGCTTTGGTTTTTTATACTCATTAAGAAATCATTCTTCTTTTGCCCTCATTATTATAAACTATGTCTTTGGGAGACTGGCAGTCTCTTTTTGCTTCCCTCTCTCCACCCCATTTTAAAAACATTCATTGTTGCAGTGATATATCTTTCAGGGCTCTTGGCCCAACTCCACTGCTGGTGTGTAAGGCTGATTGTCTTCAGAGGAGTTACACCAAAAATGCATTTGGCCTTTTGTGCTTGGAGTATAATTGGTGGAACTGGGTAGAAACCAGGTTTGTGAGCCTGCAATTACAGCAATGTCAACGTAGTTTTCAACATGTGTAGTGACTTAGAGTCCTCCAATGTAGAAGTGCAACTCAAGTTTCCTTAACTTGATCTTTTGTTCCCAGCTTCAGAATTCTGTCTGGGGTCTCAAGCAGATCCCACCAAATCACCATTAGTCAACTCACTCATATTGTTGTTTATTAGTAATTGGATTGGGTAACCTATATAGTTACTCACTCTGAAAAGCTTTATGTATATTTCATATGGCAGCCAGCAATATATTCACTACACTGTTGGTCTCAACCTGCATTTGAAGAGGTCTTGACCTCCTTTATTACTTTTCCAAATGTTAAATCTCCGTCAGGTTAGCATGGATTATATCCAGAGCGTCAAGATATGATATATTCTCTAAGCATGTTCAGCATAGTTATAATTAAGCAGCTTGGATCAGATCCTTATATGGTAGAACTCAGTATAGCTTCTCTGAAGGCAAGAGGGAAATGGACCCTATTTTGTAATGGCTGTAGCCCTGCAGATGAGATCCCAGTGATTCTGTCTATGGCTATTAAAGATCTTCTTTGGTGAGTATTTGTACCGCTGCATCTTTAGCACTTTGTGACCTCTAAATAATATCACAAGAGACCTTTTGCAAGAGCAGCCTCCTGAAATGCTCTTAAAATGATTGGAAAATATATTCATTAAAACTGTGTGAATGTTTTTCCCTTGTCAAAAACCTTATAAACACTCATCCATTCACAGTGTCTATGGTGGCAGCATGCTGATATTTTCCATTTCCTGGCTACAACCCCCTGCCAGCCCAGACCCTACACTTTCTGCTTCTGGCCTTCAGTAACAGTTAGAGGGTGAAACCGAACGCCCACATAGAAGACCTGGTATCTGTGTTTCCACATCACAAAGCATGTCAACAGGCACACCAGGGCTGCCACCAGGTTGAGAGCCATCTGCAGAAGTAGGTACAGGTTGAGCATGCTGGTGAGGCTATCACAGTCAACTGCATCCTCGTAGATGAAGGTCCTGCCAAGGGGGTCTGCAGTGTCCAGTTTGCACTGACAGGACTCGAGGATGGTATCGCAGGTAAATTTGGTCATCTGCAAATAATGGTGTGCAGCAAAAGCCACTGCCAAAACACAGGCAACCAGAGCCAGGGCACTCAGGAGAAAATACATCAGCTGAAAGAAAGATTTAAAAAAAAAGATTAAAACAGTTTCTCCAGCTGCACAGGGATTGAGGAACACAGAAGGAATGCATGCACATGTACAGCACAGGGAATGCATGTATCCAGTGTACTGCATGGACATTGGGTGCTTCAACAAC